AAAATCCTGTGCTTATGGCTTTCATCCCTAAAAATAGATCCAGAATAGCCATCCATTGGAGAAAACTGATTTTTTGGGGATCAAAACTAAATTTCTGGTTTGGACCTTCTTGGACTCAAATCTATTAACCATTGTTGCATTCAAGTCTTCAATGCCTTACACATCACCAAAATTTTCTCGATTGAATCCTGGAGCATTTTCGATTTTTTTTTTTTTTTTTTTTTTTTTTTTTTTTTTTGAGGCTCTTATTTTCAGCTTTAAGATCAGCAATCATCTTCTCATAATCAGAAAGAGACTGCTGTAAAGAAAGATTTCGGCTCTTCAAAAATTTTTTGCCAGGGCTTTTATAATTTGACTGCTCTGGTCTCAATGGAGTGGATGTGGAAACTGAAGAAAAATCAGCCATGCTTTCAGCTGAGGATGAAATAGCAATGAATTATCACAACTTTTGGGACCACTAACTGAAAAAAATTCAACAGAAGAAGAACCTGTAAAAGATGGGAAAACTTTTAATATATTAAACTTCTCACTACAGAAGACAATCTTCTTAGCAGCAGTCTTGGCACATTTTCTGAAATGAAACAACAAATGATTTGAGCTCATTGAAATTTGCCTCAACTGTGTCAGGAACTCCATACAAACAACGCAAAACAGCTACAAGAGATTCCTCATCTGAAAATTTTGACCATAATGACCATACAATTTGATTGGTAATTAATGCCGCATTGGCTACAGAGGTTATGGAAAAATCATCAAAATAACATTGGGCATGTCCAAGGAAGCAATAATATCCTCTATGGTTAACATAGTAGCAAAATATTATGCACACCATCTTATTTCAGCAACAACCTTACGCAAAATGCGGTAAAGTATGTTTGTAATTTTCAAATATATATATATATATATATATATATGGGTTAAAAGAAATTTGACATGTTCCCTCCCTCCCCAAATACAAGCTCAGCAATAAGGAAGGGTTCATCAAAAGCCAAATTGTCTTTGATATGGCTCTCAAAGCAATAAAAAACAATAAATTGTCATCATTTAGCTGGTGGAGATAAACCCCATCCACTTAACAAGTATATGATGACCATTTTTAGGGCTTGCTGTGGCTTATGTTTTTCATCACTACGTGAGAAATTCCAGATTGTTTGGTATCAGTTAAAGATATGAAAAAAAAAAGTGGCCCCTTGAGACCCCGCTTGATGTGGAGGATTATTGTTAACACCTGCAATGAGAAAGTCCGGACTTTGTTTTGATTTTTCATGTCTGTCAGTGCATGTGTCTTGAACTGTTAGTAGGTATCACAGATGAAAATTTCAAACAGGTACTAGGTGTTATCTGATTGGATCGTCTTAATCTACATGATTAAAGAAACTTAGCAGTTTTTATTTTATCAAAATATCTCAAACCGTTTAATTTTGGCAGATTTATTTTTATTTTTACACATTTTTGTCTATTATGAATTAGGACAAAATACCATATTTGGACTCCTATATTTTAAAAAGCAATTAAGAACAACAGTTAAAATTATACTAGCTTGTTAGATATATAACAAAGAAAGTAATAATAAAATTACAGATAGTATCACTGCAGATTTCTTAAATAAATTCAGTTTGAATATGCAAATTTTATAAATCAAACCCTCTGCAACGACGTGCAAACAACTCATAACCTGAGGTTTGACATTTCATAAAACTGGAAATAAGACCCACATTCATCCCAAATGTCAAATATCATATTATGACTATACCAGTAACATCCTAATTTTTTGGTGGGGGAGTGATAGAATTGATATATTCTGGATTATTCCACTTCAAAATTGAAAAAAAAAAAAAATTGCTTTTTAACCCTTTATCACAAGGTATTTGAAAGGCCGATTTTAGACTTGCTTGAATTGTGTAATAAAATGAATACACTAGAAACACCAAATTTCATATCTAGCCATTTTTGGGGATGCTCTTTCCATTTATCATGGTTAAAATGACCTAAAATCAGCAAATTAGAATGTATATGGCGCAGATGCTGAACAAGTACAGTCCTGACTCAACACGTACAATTTCTGAGAGATAGAGAGAGAGAGACTTAATACACACCAAGCAATACCCACGAATAAACATAAGAAAACAACAGAAAACTCACCATATCATGAAGTGGTATTTAACCACTAAATTTGCAACTGAAATCATTAAAATAAAAATATTTTATCTGTCACAATTTGATAAAAAAGTTGAAGTTCTAACACGTTAGTTCTGATTACTACGTAAGCGGTATGAAATCACCAAATTGTCTGAATTTTTAAACTGTAATGTTCCTCTCACATTATGCACATAAAAATAAACAACACTGACATAAAATTAATCAAATAAAGTTTATTTGGAAATTTTCAGTAATGGTGGGTTGTGTGTTGGGATACCTCTTCACTGAGTAGTCAAAAGTAAGTCTTGGTATACTCTTCATACAATCCTTCCAAATAATTTAATTCAGGCATTACCCAAGTTCTTCTAGTCTGACTAGTATATCTTTGCTGGCGTATCCAGTTTATATAGTTCAAGTATGAACCCATTTGTTACTTCCGCGCATAAAAGCTTACGACCCAGCGTTGGATCCGACAAAACACTGAGTCAATCCAACACTCTCACGTCTTTCACCTATGAATCCCAAATTTGTTACCTCATGGTACAATGCAGGACGATCCGCTTTTGGACAACTCTGAACTTCTACAACTTTCTCAATAAGGTTCACCCCTCCGTTCTTAGGAAAGATTGGGAACAATTTATGTAGCCAAATAATAGCAGACTCCCAGGTTTCCTGATACTTCTCTTTCAATGAATATATTTGAAGCAGCACCTTCTTGGAACATTCCACTTTAGGCAAAGACATCTTCCTTCCACGTCCATAAAACAACATTGTAACTGATTCTGTACATCGTCATCTTCAAAAAAGAAAAAAAATGAATTTATAATCCTATCCCATTTTGTCGAAGTACTACTTAGTAGTCATCTACAAATTATTGCCTACGTTTTCTTACTGAATTTGAGTTTATTTTAGTTCATAAAAAAATTGCACTAAATACAATCAGGGATAAATATAAATTTAGAGTCATCCATACACCTGAGTAACAAATAAGGAAGCACTAAAATATTTTCTCAACAAACCTATTTCCACAGTGGTCCTTAAAACTGACACATTAAAATATTTTAGAATAAAATAAACAATCATAATTCATATGAAATAAATATTACTAAGAAATAATAATAAATTAAGAAAATTAATATTAAATCATAAATTTGTATCTAGATTGTAACTAAAATCCATTCATTAAATAATTTAAAAAGTAAGAAAATTGTTTGAAGGGGTAACTTTAAACAAAATGTTACTTGGTAACTGAAATGCTGATAATTATTGTGAGAATACTGCAAAAACATAAAAGACATTCTATAATTTTTTTGTAGAATGTTTTTTTATCTCATTCTTTGAATATGAATATTTTTCAATCAATAAGTCCTACGTTTTTTTTTTTTTTTTTGTTTTGTTTTGTTTTTTTTTTTTGTGATCTGGATCTGAGCGTAAAGTAAACAAATCTATTTTTGTTTCATATTTTTTATGATGAAAACGGTTTTTAAATCTCATATATTTTACATATCATAGAAAATTAATATTTAAAACAAATTCTTACCAATTTTCTTGAAAATTTCATCCATAGAAAACTTTTCTTTTTTTTTTTCTTTTTTTTTTTTTTAAAAACATATCCAGTTTTGTTTTAGAAAATGAATTAATAAATAAATAACTCAACTGCATTTTTATTTCGAGGGTCACCGGCCTGAGTGACAAAAACACTAATAGATGATACTGTTTTTTTTTTGTTTTTTTTTTTTTTTTTGCTATATACCTTTCGTACTTCCCATCGCCAGGTCATATAGTAGTTCATTTTATTCAATGATATTTACACCAACGTAAAGACAAAGGATTGAAGTGAAAAAAATTATTTTTTTAAATAAGAAAGTGATTTTTCATAGAAAATTGGCCATAATTTTTTAATGCTGACCCCTGAGTGACATTTTTCACAGCCAAATCGAAAATTTATTACCAGTGAATAGTTCCATGTGCAAAAAATATCCGTCTGGATCCTATAAAGTTGCCCAAAAAGGTCCAGATGTTTATTGATTGATCAAAAATTTGTCGCGCATAATTGTTTTTTTCATGGTCAGTTTCCATTATTTCATCTTGATGTTGTCATTTTCGGACAGCCAAATCATCAAGGATTCAGGAAAACAGTTTGGCACAGGTTTACTTTGAGAACTTTACATTCTATAAAGTGTTTAAAATGTTACTGACAAATGAGATTTTTCACCAAATATTTTGTTTACGCGCCATATTGTATTTTCCTATATGACAAAAACAAGGGTTTTAAACAGCTGTGTCATGATCAAAGTCTGTTGTAGATTTGTTAGTTATACTGTATTGAAGGAAATGATGCATAAAGTCTTTTTTTATTTTTTTTTATTTTTTATGGTTTTAATTTTGACACTTGCCCTACCAATAGAATTTTTTAATGCTATTTATGCCAAATCCTTAACTGGAATATGAACACTTGCATTTTTTTTAAAAGTAAACTAAGGACATCTGTACTACCTCAGAATGTAATGCAGCTAATAGATCTGAAACAAACTGCACATGATAAATTTTATTTAAATGGATAGAAGGAACTGGACAAAATGTTGTAAAGATGGTAGAGGGAAATAAAAATGAGTAGAAAAAAATCATGAAATATTAACAAACTCGTTTGAAATTCATGCTTTTCTTCAGTGAACAAAAATTAACTGTTTTTCTTAATATTTATACATGCAGAATTATAACTTCATTTTATTTATTTTTTTGTACTATAGCCAAATGAAATGTTGCACTTGAAGAGAGTATATAGAATATTGTGTATACAACAAGGTTTTATCAGTTAATGTTTTCTTTTATTGTACTTGTTCAGTGTTTTGTTTCCACAGGACGGTGCTACAGCTTCCACCATAGCAGAACAGCCACCCAAAATAAATAATCTCCTTAACTCTTTAAAAAGATTCAAGAAAAGAGAATTCCGTCCTAATACAAGGGTGAGTAAGTTTTTGAGTTAGCATAAATCAAAAATCTTACAATGAATCTATCATTCCTCTGAAAAATTACCATTTATGCTACAAAAGTTAAAAAAAAAAAAAAAATATGAATTTGAATAATCATGACATTTATTTAATTGGAACAAAAGAAAATATTTAAAACCAGATATTCACGTGATAATAGTAATTTAGGTCATGTTTTGATCACTTATAGCAAGGGTCGGCAACCTCCGGCCCGCGAAGGCATTTTGACTGGCCCGCGAGCCTGATTACCAATGACTCTATTTTTAACATGAGAGACGACCTTAAAATGAAATTTGTTACATGTCATTTTCTATAGAATGTCTACACATCTCAGTGCACTAAAAATATTAGACTATCTGCCAGTTATCTTTCATGAGACTTATTTTACCAAGTTGCGTTGCCTACGTTTAATGTCAAATAATGGATACATATTTGTTATGACCCTTGGCTACATTAAAAGATAACAGAAGCGAAAGGAAAGATAAAGTGAAAGAGGCCAGGGAGGGACTGACATGCGAGGTAGCAGAAATCTAAAGACAGTTAAACATACGCGTATTATACATACATGCCTCATGAATGTGTGGATGATACCGCATGTGTACGTACATAAGTGTATATGTTTGCAACTATTTGTACTTGTATGTATGGGTATATGTGCTTCGTTTTTGTTTGTGTGTGGTTCGTTTGTGGAACAATTTTCAATAACAGTTTCAAACCTACACGTCATAATTTCATCCATTTCACTTCGGTTGATTTTTTTTCACTTTGAAGTATTTTGACGTTCCTTGAGGAAAAGTAATTTTTGTTAGGTGTTTTTTAATTTTAGATTTTCTTTTGTCTTTCTGATTTCTCAATGTTTATTTTCATTATGGTTTTAAATATTTAGGTTGACAGGGGTCTGCGTATGTAATTTTCCTTAATTTTTCCTTAATGTCCTTTGTCCGGCCTGCGACCCGTCATTATACCACGATCCTGCCCGCGGGGTCGAATGAGTTGCCGACCCCTGACTTATAGTTTACATTTTGGAGACAGATGAATTATTTGGAATAATGTCCTTATTGTTTTGAATGTATTCTGGTATATTTTCTGGACTTCTTCAGGTGAAAAGTGGATCTATTGATATTTTTTTTTTTTTCTCCAACTAAAAAAATTTATACATTTAAGTATCAATGATTTTATGTCGCATTCAGAATTCCTTAACAAGTTAGAATTTTTCACACTCACACTGTTATACAAGGGTGGACTGGAAAGTTCATAGTCTGACTATGAAGAAGTGATGCTAGATCTGTGAAATCTTGCATGTATTAATTTCAACTCTTCTTATTAATGATTGCATTTTCTTTCCAGGAAAACTGACATCTGACTGTTCCAAGAATCCTTTTGAAGATAATCAATAAGCCCCATGCCTTTTGCATCCCCCAAAACTGAGGCTATCACTTCCATTGAAGATGAAATGACCTTGGCCTTCTTTGGAGCAGATGAAGAAAGATGTTTCCACTGCATGGATTCTTTTTGTCTCTGGCTCAAAGTGATGAACCCAACACTCATCTTGGGTTAGGAAACATTCAAGGAAAGCAGCTTGATCTGCCTTAAACAATGTCAGATTTTCCTGTGATGTGATTATCCTGATGCACTTTTGATTACGTGTCAAAAGATGTGACACCTACTAACGGAAACCTTTGTCATGCCAAGTTCATTGTGCAGAATATTCTTAACTCTCTCACAAGATATGCTAGTATCATTGGCTATTTGATTTATAGTCAATCGTTTGTCATCCATGACCATGTAGTGAACATGATCAACGTTTTCCTCAGTGGTTTCGATCACAGGATGTCCAGATTGTGATGTCAAATGTCAGTTTACCTGGAAAGAAAGAATGCAGTTATTATTAGAAAGATTTTTAATTAATGCATGCAAGATTTCACAGCTTTAACATCACTCCTTCATAGTCAGCCTATGAACTTTTTGATCTACCTTCATATGACTAGCATGGAGGTTAATTTTTATTTTTGTATAGTATGTATGAGAAGCTTTAATAACCACTGTTTCTTGTTTGGCTTTTTAGCTCTGTTGAGCACTAATTTCTATAACTATCAATTGCCACACTCTGCCTACTTATGCTATTTTATTGATTTCACAGACTTTGCATGTGTCAGTTCATTTTACATATTTTCCTTATATCCAGACAAAATGCTGTTTGCTATGTTTTATTTAAAGATCTTGAATAGTAGTATTTTGAGGCTCTTCAAATTGAATCTGTACGTTTCCTGCTTCATATTATTTACTAAAACTTCACAGTATATAGTTCATAGATTTTTGTCATAATGATTATTTGTTGTAATTGCAAGTGTATAGATTTTTTTTAGAGAGAAAGTGTCTAAAGCATTAAATATGGAGACCATACAGTATTTGACAATCCAAAACATATCAATGTTTTCCTAAATAAGTCAGTTAAATGTACAAGGCTAGTTTTTACTCTTGTATCAATTTGCAATTTTTATACTTTTGACAAAGTGAAAAAATGTTTTTGAAAACTTTGTATGAAAATATATATTTTGAAGTCCTTATAGCTGAAAATATGATACTGACAATAACAAAAATAGGAAAATTCAAAATCCGATAGCATTTTTGGTCTTTACTTACATTTTATTTATGTTGATTGTTTTGTCACTTATATAAACATTTAAGACTATATTAATTTCTTTTCTTCCAGGCATTGATGAATCTGATGGAGATGGGCTTTGAAGAATCTGAGGCAATTAGTGCCTTAAGAGTTGCTGGCAACAATCAAGATACTGCTGTGAGTAAAAATATTCATTGTCTTTTTTTTTTTCTTTCTTTCTTAACCATATTGCTGTTCTGTCACTTATTTGGAAAAATTATTTTTAATTCATTCTTTACTTGTTCTTATTTTAAATTGATGTATTGTTTCCTAAAATAAAATACATCATTTACTTTATTAATGAAATGAGCTTTGGTTTATTAACTTCATATTTTGATTTTTAACCAGTTATATATAAGATTGAATCTTTTGTGAATGTTTATATCCTGTTTGGAACATTTGAAAAGGAAATTATTGAATTATTTGTTTTAAAGTTTATGTCAAACATGATTATTATAGAAAACACTTGAAGTTCTACATGGAAAAAAAAATTGTGAATTTTTACCATTTGGAGACTAATGATACCTATAATTTTGAACTGTCATTATCATTCCAATAGTTGTTTGAATGAATTAATATTCTTTTTGTTATCACAATGAACTTAAATGTTTTGTTAAATACTATAGACTATAATATCTATTTTCAATAAATGTCAGGTGCAGGACAGCTGCCTTCATTACTTTGAGAAGTTTTCCTATGCCTGCATTTGAGCACCTGTACTAATGATTGTACTGTAATGATCTATGGGTCATCCAATCAGTGTATTTACTACCTATCTTTTCTGGTTTGCTACTATTTACTGGTTGGCACTACTGAGAAAAAGAACTTCCTTCTCTTTGTATGCAAATTATGCACCTGAAAAATAAAGTAATAAAAGCAACAAAAAAGGAGTTCTATAACAAATATTTATGTGAAAATATTGAAAGTAAAACTGCACTTGCTATGTTCTTTATACTCAACTTATATAGCCTGTTATTTTCACAAATGAATTAAACTTTTTTGTTCTTAAATACTTAACTCCTCCTCATAAATGAGCTTTGTTAAATCAACCAAAATTTTGATTTAACTTTTTTTGAATGATGCCTGGATAAAAATAAAATTTTAATTATTGGTTATAAAATCAAATCTTGAAGGAAATTTTATTTCTATTCAAAAGTAAGCTGATGTGGCACTGACCACTTTATAAAAATGTCTCTTTTATATTCTTATCATTGTGTAACATTCTTAACAAAAGTAGGAGGATACTTCTGCAAATTATTTAGTACAATTTGATTTTGATCAAATTTTCCAAGATGTTCATATCTAGTTAGAATTCTCTCTTAAAAAGAATTCACAAGCTTGTAATGAGTTCAAATTTCATTACAACAGATCTGGGAAGCACTCCCAGATTTCCATTCACAAAACCAAGCCATGATTTTGATTGTAATACAATGCATTAAACTGCATTTTGTGGCCATATTCATTTTATATCATTATCACCTCTAATACTCTTTAAAAAGATTCTTAAAAAAATCTCTTGAGATATTTTTAATGTCATTTTTGTTGTATTACTGTATTTGATATATTTTTTTTTTCTCCAGTGTGAATGGCTTCTAGGTGATCGTAAGACATTGCCAAGTGATGTGGATGAAGGATTAGATGTAGATGGTCCAATTTACAAAGCAATAATGGCTAATCCTACTATTCAGCTAGGTTTAAATAATCCTCGATGTTTGCTTGGTAAGTAGAAAAGCTGTTTGTACATATTTCAATAAATTTCTAAATAGAACTACTTTTCATAAAGAAATAATTGATTATAAATGTTTTGGTGCTTTTTAGAATTTTGTCAGAGAACATAAATTATTTGTAATTAGTATTGAAATTGAATTTAATTTTCAAATAAATCTGTAATTTTTGAAAAAATCTATATAACTTGCATTCTTTTTGATAGGTATTTCTCCAAAAATGTTGGTATTTTATTAAACACTATATCCTTCTATAGCATTTTTCACATGGCTTAAATGATATTTTTAAATTTAATCATGTAAGCATGAGATTACTTCTATTGAAGTTATTTTATATTTTCATTTTTTGTTGTCAATACAGCAAATGCATTTTAATTTTTTTACCTGAGGAAAATATTGACTGAAAGTGGTGGTGGGGGGGGTCTTCAGATTTATTTCAGTCAGGTTTTTCTAGTGCATTATCTGGTTTATGTTAGTAGTTTTAAGAAACTTTAAATGAAATCCTTTATTTCACAAAAAGCCACTTTAATTAGAATAGTTTATGCATTCTAACAACATATTAATTCTACACTTTTATTTCTATCAAAACAAATCCCAACTATAAATGTTGCTGTTGACATAAAGTTTTTAGCAATGTTTTGTTTATTTAGTTACTAATATTTAGCCAAGTTGGTTATTCCTTGCATATAGAGGAAAACTTCAAAATCTCCTGTTTACTTTTATTTTTTGAAGAATACATTTCAGTAGTTATTTTTATAATGGGATAATTTTTAAATGATACTTATTTCTATAGGCAGTCTTTTATAATATACTAGCAGTAGAGCCCGGAGTTGCCCGGGGATATAACAGTAAGAGATAGATCAAGTATCCACCATCATAAAGACTGAAAAATAAAATTGACAAAGATTATTGTTTAAGGTTGACGGACACGCATGTCTTAATTATTTTTTTTTTTTTTTTTTTTTTTTTTACGAGTTGGTCAAACCCAAACTCAAACAAAAACATTGTTTTCAATCGTTATGAGTCTCTACCGATTGAATAGAATTTTTTTATAAACAATTGTCTTGTAAATGGAATTTTAAAAGCATTCTGAATGTAAAAATAAAGAAAAAGTGTGTGCAGACAATAAGAAACACTACATGCCAAAAAAAAAAAAGTTTTTTGTTGAAATCAGTTGAAAAATGTAGGTAGCCTTTCTGTAATCTTTTAGTTTTAAAATTTATGATTTTTACTTATTGAATACAGTAAAAAAAAAAAAATGCATATTTTGCTTGTGGTGATTCATAATTAGAATTCTGATTTGAATATAGTTTCCACTCGTTGTTTCTAATACAAAAATATTAACTTTATTTGGGTTTATTAATTATGATCTAACAAATCTTATTCATTTAGTAGCCTTTCTGTAATAATAATCTTTTTACAATTTATGATTTTTACTTATTGAATACAGTAAAAAATTGGACACTATGTGTATTTAAAGTAGTTTCCCGTTCCGGTTATTATTTTTAGTTAGGACTTGTTTATGTTTAGATTTCACTATCTTTCCCTAAAGATAAAGAATTTATTACGATGTTTGTATTCGTACAATCAGTAGAGATCATTAGATTATTGTTTAAGATTGACGGACACGCATGTCTTAATTAGTTTTTCTTTTTCTTTTCTTTTTTTTTTTTTTTTTTTTTTTTTTTACGAATTGATCAAACCCAAACTCAAACAAAAACATTGTTTTCAATCGTTATGAGTCTCCCAATTGAATAGAATTTTATTATAAATAATTGTCTTGTAAATGGAATTTTTAAAGCATTCTGAATGTAAAAAATAAAGAAAAGTGTGCAAGAGAATAAGAAACACTACCTGCCAAAAAAAAAAAGTGAAGTTTTGTTTTATTGGCTGAAAAATATAGGAAATCCGCTCCCATATTTAAAGGAACCCCCACACACACACAAACAACCCGATATGAGTTGTCCCCCTTCCATTTTCACAATGTCTCTTAATCATGTTTTCAAATTGATTTTGTGCAAAAACAATTATATTTTTACCATTTTTGGCGCTGTTAGAACCACCACAAGGTAATTTTATGTAGTCCTGTGAAGTTTTGTTGAAATCGGTTGAAAAATGTAGGAAATCCGATCCAATATATAAACATTACAGACACACACACACACACAATCTGCGTTTTATAATAAGTAAGATGCCATTTCAATCATCATATTAGTCCAATTATAAATAATGGTAATTTCAGACAAAAACTATTTCATTTTTCAGACAGGAAAAAATTATTTTTTGTATAAAACATGAAAACTTATATTTCTTTATATAAATGAGTTAAATGAAATATTGAATAATTTCTGTTTGAATTTTTGGAATGTGACGTTATCATTTATAATTGGATTGATGTATTTACATATGTTCATGATTGTATACCTGTAGCAAAATCATTTGTGGTTAGATACATGTGGTAGCTGTCAGAGAAAGGTGGGGGGAAAAAAAATTCAGTTTGTTATTAAAAAAAAAAAAAAAATTATTCCAATTAGAATGTTTTGCATTAATTAAAAACTGTGAAACATAAAAATACATCAATAGTTCTTTTAAACAAATATGCTGTTTTTTTTTTTTTTTTTTTTTTTGACTTGATTGGTAGATTAATCTTTGACAGTAACTAATATTAAAATTAAAAAACTTGCTTAAATATTTTGCTAAAAGCAACTAGAACATGAATATTAATTAATCTGAACTAATTATACATTTATTATTCTTTCCCCATTTTTTTCCTCAGCCTTTCTACTGATGCTTGAGAGTCCTCTCACTGCTAATCAATGGCTGACAGATGCTGAAACAGGTCCAGTTTTGCTGCAAGTTTCTCGGATTTATCATGCAGAAAAAAATTCCAATAAAGCTCTTGTCAATCAGAACAATCTTGGACTTGGAACTAGCAGCAGCAGATGATGTTGGCCTCATTTCTAGATGAGCCGCTCATATTAACAGTTAAAAATAGATAATACTATTCGCACAACATGCATACAAGTAAGCATATTCACATACACAATCATAGCTGATATTTCTTCAAGACAAAGCTTTTTATTTTATTGAACTTGGACATGTTCTAAGGCAAATTTTATAACATATATGCAAACACTTTTACAGAATATTAGAAAATTACATTTTCAAGTATAAAAACAATTTCAACAACAGTATTGCTCAAATTGCTTATTTTGTATTCTTTATTTCTAATTCTCTTTGACATAATGATGTCATATGTCCTCTTCCAGATTTCAAATGAGATAATGCTAATATTTTTCATTGTATTGCTAATGTAAAGGACAATGTTTGGAAATTACTGCTGTATGTTCTTTAAAAAAATTGCCATTCAACTTACACAGCCTTTACCAAATTCCTTTTTCTACCTCAAATTCTCTGAAGGAAATGATAGAACAAACAGCATATAAAGAACCCTTCTTCTTTTTTTTTTTCTAAATTTTACATCTGGGGTGGGTGTGGTGGAGGTGTTGAAACTTGAAAGAAATACATATACAACCATCCAGAATGTAAGTAATTGCCTGAAACAAATTAACTGTTATTCTTAATTTTTTAAAATGATAATAAAAGTAAACAAAATTACTAAAATTATTTTTCTATAGTTTTGCCATTGTGAAAATGACTCTTAGTAATACATATAAAGGAAAAATCCATTGAACTTAAAATCAGGCAGGTTCTAAAGCAAATTTTATAAGTAGAATGTGCATATATACACACTTTTACAGAAAATGACATTTTCATATATAAAAAAACATTTCTTCAAAGCTATTGCACAAATTCTATTTCTGTTTAAGTCTATTAAAACAGCAGTTACAATTTAATAAACTGGTAATTTATGTAATATACAGGGTGCAATGGATAGTTTAAATTACACAAAATGAAAATAAAACTGACATCTCATTTTAACAGATATTTATCAAAATTATGCAAAAATATCTTGAAATACTAAAGAGTGAACTTATTCAATAAAATCGCCATTGGTTTCTACCATGGCCTCCAGACAACTTTGGAATCTTCTGCAACTCTTCTGAACTGTCTCCTTGTTTAAGTTGGTGAATGCTGTCCTAATTCTTGCTTTCAATTCATCCTCGGTGTTACAAGAAGTTTTGTTGATCTCTCACTCGACTGTGCCCCACACATAAAAATCAAGGGGGTTGTAGTCTGGTGAGTTAGGTGGCCAGATATAAGGGGTGATGTGGTCACAGAAATGACAGCCATGACTGAGTTCTGCTTGTGTGGAATGGTGCAGAGTCCTGTTGCCAGACATAGTGTTTTCCAGCAGCCACCTTCTTGACCCAGGGCAGCACTACCTCATCAAGGCACTTGATGTAGGCCTCAATGTTAAAGGTGAATGGAGGCATAACATCACCATCACTAGTGATCACTCCAGACACCATTAGACTTGTTCAACTCTTCCTGATTCCTCTGTACTGTCCTCAGCTTGAAACCCAAACATTATGAAATGTTTGTATTGGAGCTTCTGACATGAATGCCAAGCAATACAACATGCCGTCTCAAAATTTCTGGCAGAGTGAATTGTCATGGTGCTCTTTTTCTCAAAGATGGTTCCCAACTGACCTTACTATACTGTACAGTCAGAAAAATAAAAAACAAACACAATGTGTGAAATTAAAAATGTAAAATTGAGACAATTTACCAATCGCACCCTATACTAGATGATTTAAATTGTCTTCATTTTTGTTATTACAACAACAAAGATGAGGACAGTTGTCCACATGTAAATAATGTAAATAATGCATATTTTGTTGATGAGAAAGTGGAGTTGAGAGAGCCTGAAAAAATCCATTTTCTAATATTTGAAGAATATTGCATATTACTGAAGAGACATATCCTATTTTACCAATCCCAGTGAAATTATTATATAGGCCACCTGCTGTAGTGCAATGTTTAGCAAACTAATCTTGCAGACATAGGAATTCTCACTGGTTGTCTCGCTGGCTGGTCAATGAATTTATTGCAAGTAGGTTTTCATTTATCTTTATTTTAATGGCTCACTTACAAGAAGCCTCCTAAATGGTGTTGTATTTACTTTTCATTTATTATTTTAAATTAGAAATCTTCTGAACATTTGAAGATTTTAGTTAAAATAACCTTATTTTCAAATGTTAATCATTCAATTATAAGAAATAGAAAGAAAAAAAAAATGATGTGTTCTTCAAAAAAAGTGGAATGTTTTGTGACTTAGCTTTTTATTATTTTGGAACCAATTTGTTTGTAGCCCATGTTTAATGCAATGTAATTCTCTTTATTAAAGAATCTTCCAAAAAGAAGATATACATTTCTGAAACTTTATTTGAGGAATATTAGACAATTTAAAGTATAATTAATCTGATTTGAAACAAATATTATTTACTTTAAGTTTAAAATATCACAGAAATACATTTTTTTTTTTACCTGACTGTAGCTCTTTATTTAAGGTGTTGATGTGATGAAGATCTAATGTTGTTATATGGGGACTTCATCTGTAAAGCATAATTGAAGAAAATGAAAATAAAAAAAAAAGTACTTAAAATTATATAAAAAATAATTTTTTAAGTACTCAAATTTAATTTAAAAATTTAGGAAAATAGTCTCTGTAATCTAATGTTTATTGAATTGTACATACTTTGGCTTTAAATTTACTATATTACTTTATTTTTTGACGTTGTGTATGGACGTCTGTATTTATAAAAATCAGCACAAAAAATTTTTTTAATTCTTTTAAAAATATTGGTGTTTGATGATTTGTTTTAAGCTTTATTTATGATTAGTAAACATAGTTTTTAATTAATATCATCTAAAGGCTGAAATTAATATAGAATTTTAAGATTTTTAAACTTTATAAATTCTGATTTTAAAATTTAAAAAAAAATATGAAAACAATTCTTGTAAAAATTTATCATCCATAAAAATTTTTTTTTCTTCCTTAATATATCTTACTTATAAAAGCAATTAAAAGCTTCTCTAATTAAATAATGTCTTAGTTTTATTGCACTTTTTAATTTTACGATTCAGAGCAGATTTTCAGTAAATGGCGTTTGTTTTACCAAACAAAACATTGATTATTTAAATTCTCCAAGCAGTTCTGTTTTTAACTAACATGAATATTAAGGAGGTGAAATTTTAATTTCTCAAAATATCAAAAAATTGAGTAATTGGGATTTAATGGATATGTGGGGGGGTAATATTTTTTTAAGAAGGATAAAAAATAAAATAATTTCATTCATTTGTGAATAAATTCTGACAGTTTCATTAAAATTTGACAACTATTTTATTTTTTTTTTTTTTTTTTTTGCAAGACTCTCCAAATCTGTGTTTTTTATCATAAAAAAACCCTGCAAAGACAATTTCCCATTATTAATCTTTGGTCACCCACCCACCGACTACTGCTGACACAAGAAAAACAAGATTTTTATTCCAAATTTCAAATGTGCTAAAAAGAATAAAAACTTTAATAAAATAATCAACAATTACTCCTTAATACTAACAAACATTTTGATGATAAAATTTTGTTTTTATTAAGTTTGGGTCAATTTTCATCATATGTTCTTTTTTTCAGTGAATTAGTGGATGTATCTAAGAGTAAGATATTTCATCTTTCTGAACCAGCTCTTATAAATTGTCCTTCATTGAATTTTTCTATATAGTATATATTTTCAATTTACACTTCTATTAAGTTAAATGCTTTATTGAATTCATATGTATGTTACTTTTTTTCTTTTTTATCCAATTATTTCTGTTGCATTTTCTTGAAGGACCTTTGGTGATGTGATGCTTGCTGTAACAATTACCTCAAGCAATTCTTATTTATAAGGGTTTTACTGTTGATCTATCACTGCTCTTTTCAGTTGAAATTTGAATCTTTCGTTATCTCTGCCAAATGATTCAACTTTCACAAGTAAAAAAAAAAAAAAAATATCTCCGTTTTTACAGATTTTCAAGTTTTTGGTAAATGTTATAGAATCAGTTTTGTCTGTCTTATTTCAGCCATGAAGTAAACCATCTTTAGCATGAGTAATAAGCACATTGTAATTCTATTGAAACATTTGATTTTTTTAAAATTATCTTTGTAGATTCACTGCTCTCTGTATTTAGGGATGCTTTACTTTCCAGATTGATTGCAATTTTTAGTTTAAGATTTTCAAAATTAAAATGATTTTTACCTAACTTATTGTACAAGTTTGTTTGAGACTCCATATGTTTACTGTTCTGTTTGCCTGTCATTTCATATAACTCTGGTATTTTTCTTATTTGATTGTATTCAAAAGCTTTGAAATAAAGATACTATGCTTTTCTCTTTTGTACTTCTTTGTTTCTCATCACAAAAATGTTTTAGATTTATTTGTAAATTTGAAAAAATCACTTTCTTATTAAAACACGAATTCATAATTCAATTTCAGTTTCTGATTTTCATGACATTTAAAGAAAAATTTTGTTAAAATTGATTTTTATATCATAAATGCTGTTTCTCTTAATATTTAGTAGACTAATAGACATAGATGCTTATTAAGACTAAATTTTGGGGCCATGCATGATATATGCTTAGGTGATCATGTATCTTTCGATACACGTCTGACAAGGCAGATTTTTTCCTGCAGTAGACCAGTTGCCATCTAAAGGCTATAGAACCCGGTCTATCCTGCTATTTACCCATAGCTGGGGGGAGAAGAAAAGGATTCACACCTTTCTGAAGGGTATTAGCATGTAAGTGAATGTGATAGATTCGACTGGAATTATTAAGACTACACTGTTTATTAATTTTGTTCCTTTTGACTGTTTAAATGATATTCAGAGTCCACTTTTATTAAAACCTTCTGTTTACTGCATAACAAGACAAACTACAGACCCTTACCCCGATTAAAATATTATATTAGGCACCTAAGAATATGCTGTAAACACCTGATCTTTAT